AGGAGAAGGATTCTATCTTTTCTTTCCTTTTCCTTCTCTAGCCAAAATATTTTCCAAGAGCACCTGAAAAAAGCAATTAGTGCCCTTGACTCTTTATCAAACTTTGTAAGCAAGTTTCAAACCCTTCAGTTACCAAGTCAGTAAGATCCAATAGGAATGAACAAAGGATACATTGTTTCAAAGAAGGAACTTCAGACTCTGGCTTCCGAATGGCAGATTCACTTTTTCATACTTTTCTCAATTTTATGGGAAACAAAAATCTTTAATTGTCTTTGGTGTGATTTAATAACAAATAGAAGGGAGAATTTGTTAAAATAAAATAAAAAAGAGTTTTAATTTAAGCCAAAATATAAGGTGGTAAAAAATAGCAGAAAAAGAAATCAATCCATTCACTTCAAGCGGAGAAACAGAAAACGTTGCAATCATTTCAATCCACAAAGTATTGTTACAAGAAAGAACAAAAACTTTCCAAGGCAGTACAATAAGACTTAAATTCACCTCTTTATTCTTTTACTTAAAGGACTAATTTATCTTTTTAAAAAAAGTTTCTTTGGCCAATCTTTCTCAGAGTAAAAAAAAACCTCACCCGATGGACTCACTTTCACTTCCTTCCTTCCGGAGCCGTCTCCAACTTCATGATCCTGGGGGTTGCCTGTTTGCCGCCGGCTTGAAGCACTTCCCTTGGGTCAATCAGGGACATTACAGTGTCCCTGAGACCAGCAAGGCTTTGTCTTCCTGATCACTGTCTCTCTGGGACGGTTTAGGTCCCAGAACCATCCAGTGGCAAAAGTGTCAACGGCGGTCTCAGACTGTCGAGACCGCATGTTGTGTTGTTGCGATGTTGGCTCCACCTTCCAATCAGCTCTTTTAAAGTCTAAAACATTGGTTAGATTATGTTCTGCTGCTTGTCTCTGTTTTATATTGAATTCTAATATGCCATGGTCCCTCTCCCCTAAAGTTCCTTGGTAAAAATAAGGTCCAGGATAGCTGTATACAGTATATCAAAAAAGACAAGAAGGACACCATGTGGAAAATTAATCTGAATGTGCCTGTGAAGTCAATGAAGGGCATCCTGATGCTCTTTGAGTATGTTACAAAGTAACAAGCCTTCAAACAAGATTCAGAGGACTTCTACAACCGAAAGATTATAAAAGTCTAAGTCACCATCAAAGGGGTCCCCAACCAGCTGTACTTACAGGGCCTGCTTGCTGACCAGCAATGGGATAAGGAAGTTATTTGCTGCAGGTTTCAAACGTCACCCAGTAGCTGCCCAGGTGGCCAAGTATCTGGCATTGGCAGACATTTCACTGTGGGATTTCCTGATCACCAAGTATGCCCTGTGGATTGACCTTAGAATCACTGATGACCAGCTGTCATTTATTTGCAGGCTGATGGCAAGGTGTAGGGGCAGCACTGGCATGGGAGCACGTGGGCAGCTGCAGGGATGCACAGCTGAGGAGTGGCTGAGTTAATGGGCCCATATGCCAAGGCTGGCATGTCCGTCGTTGTCCACTGTCTGGCGTGTCCCGCTGTCCGTTACTGCCACCATGGCTGGATCTGCCCAGGGAATGACCCCGCCCCCGATGGGCAACCAGCCAGCACCTCCCTGGTGTGCTCTGCTGCTGCCACTCCCCACCCCCGGTGCAGTCCCAGAATGTTCCACCGCCATTGCTGCTGCTGTCACAGGCTCCACAGCCATTGGAAGCGACCAGGCCATCCCCCCCCCCCCCCCAACCCCAGGGATGGGGGGCCCCGGAACAGGACTCAACAAGGTGTATAGAAAACGCCAGTGAGTGTATCACAATCCAGATCTCAAAAGCAAAAGAGAACGAAGATGCTTTGAACATCTATGTCTACATCATCATGGATGCACAGCTGAATATTGAGAATGGCCACTCCATCAGTGTACTCTATTGGTGCTGCATTGCAATATCTGTCCAAGAACTCCCACTTGGCAATCATCTATGGCTAGATGGGCTGCATAAAAACTGTTTTCATTCCCCTGGAGTATGGTATGGGAAAACTCACTGCAGCCAACTTGCCAGAGCCAACTCACCACGGCCAACTTGCTCAACTTTTTACTTCTATATAATCATATATACAATCCCAGAGGTGGGATTCAGCCAGTTCGGACCAGTTCGGGAAAACTGGTTGTTACGATTCTGTGCAGTTCGGTGAACCAGCAAATCGCACCACTTACTGGCCCCTCCCCTCCAACTCAATCCTTTTTGTGCCTTGCCTGTGCCTAGAGTCACACCTGCAGCATAGCTGCTGCTGCTCCCTGGTTCCCTCGCTTACCTCGACCACGTGGCCCAGCTGATTTCTGCCTGGTGAGCCTTCCTTTGCTCACTCACCCAGATGCCTCTCATGCGGCCACACATTATCTGGCCTGAAAAGGTAAGGCCAATGGTAGGGGTGGGGGCCTGCTGTGCTTGGCCAAAGGGGTGGGGGGGACAGACAGCAAGGTGAGGCCATCTTTCAGGCCTAGTTCCAGGAGGGAGCCAGAGGGATTTCAGAGGGAGCTTGGAGAGATACCTGACTCCCTTGTCGGCAATCCAGCCGAGTCTTTGGTCGCTGCCTGGAACATTGCGGATGCTGGAGCATTGGATCGGATTGCGCCTTTGAGGCCTCTCCACGGCAGTGGATCCAGGAGGGCACATTGGTTTACCGAAGAACTCCGGGAGATGATGCGCCAAAGGAGATGGCTAGAGCCATGTTCGAGGGCT